ATATATATATATATATATATATATATATATATATATATATAAAATTATACTTTATATATTACAATATTTTGTTTTCAATATCAAACATGTCGCATAATGTAATCAAACCAATTCTTTTCTTTCACAATTGACATTTTATTTTCATTGTAACTCCAATTTTCGGAATAAAGCCATAGAAATTTTATTTTTACATTTTTTATGTTTTACTAATATTTTAGTCTTTTTTATCTAAACTATTTTTACTTTCGAACTTTTTTTTTATAAAAATTAGAAAAATGAGAAAAATTTGAGTAATAATGGGAAAGGTGAGGGGTATTATATAAAGTTAGATTAATAAAACATTTTATGTAACTATTTTATCCATATTTTTTATATAGTTTAAAATATTGATATTTTGCTGTTTTATCATGTACATTATATACAAAAAAAATTCACTTATTCAAATTAAAAAGTTGAAGAAAAAAAATTAGTGTGAATCGTAAGAATAGTGAGATGAAAAAATAATTTATAAACTATAGTTATGAATATAACTGTTGTAATAATAATTATTATTATATTAAAAATATATCGTTTTTAGAGTAATTAGTTGGGGAGTAGAAATAGTGTGAAGAAAATGAGAATAGTTGGAAAAACTTGAATGAACTGGAGGAAACTAGAAGGAACTGGAATTACTAGAAGAAACTAGAAAGAACTAGAATGTAAGAGTTTAAACCCTAAAGAACAAGCTCTAAGTAAGGAAATTACTGACAACACTTTATATGTTAATTTTGTGTCTGAGATTTGGATTGAGCTTGAAGATCGTTTTGGACAATCTAATCGTGCACGGCTGTAGCAATTATAGATAGAGGTTTGTTCAATTTCACAAGAAAATTCTTACATTGCTTCATAGTTTACTAGACTAAAGAGTAATTGGGATGAACTCAACATTGTTTCCGATAATCTAAAGTGTGCTTGTGGTGATGTACAAGCTTTGCTCAAAGATGAACAGGGTCAAAGATTAATTCAGTTCATTAACTATGGGCTTGAATTTAGATTATATGACCATGGCGAGAAAAATTCTATTAATGAAACATCTGCGAACTGTCAGCCAAGCCTATAGTCTCCTAATTTATGGAGAGCTGCAGAGGGAAGTCCAAACCTCCTCACCATTCATAACACAACATGCTTCTTTAAATGTAAACAATCAATCCACTTTCAAATCTGGATACACTGCAGGGGGATATAAAGGAAAAGGTGACAACAATAAGAAATAAGTGTTTTGTGAACACTATAAAAAGTCAGGACACACAGCCAATAAGTGTTACAGACATGTTGGTTATCTCAAAGATTTCAAGTTTATGAGAGGCAAGAAAATGGCGGCTCACACATTAAGTGGAGAAGAGTCCATGGTGACTGAAGAACATACCAGTGGTCAAGACAATGCTGCCTTGTACAATCACTTCATGTAGTTTCTAAGTACACTTCGAGCTGTTGATCAAAATCTTAAATCCACTGGAGATACTAAGGCCATTTCTTTTTTTGCACGCATGGCAAGTATGATTTCAGCTTCACCTAATTTCTTGAGTCTTCATTTGTGCAATAGTATGCTTACAATTGATTACTATAGTTGGATTTTAGACACTGGAGCTACTAACTACATTTGTTCAAATATCAAAGTGCTTTCTCATATCAAATCTCTTCCAACCCCACAACACATATATCACTTTACCCAATAATCATAAACTCCTTATCTTCCAAACTAGCATAATCATTTTACCACATAATATACATGTGGATGGAGTTCTTTTTGTTCTTGACTTCTAACACAATCTACTATTTGTGGGACAAATTATGTAGTCAATTGGGTGTTACTGCAAGCCGTAAAGTCAATCTCTCATCATATGACAATGATTCCGAATATGTCCACTTTTGCTATAATAGAAAACACTCCATATTACTAGGATCTTTACTTGGCTTAAACTTTGATCTTTCTCTTGAGACATCTCTTTTTCTCTCTTAGCTCCTCCTCTCTCTGCACCAACCACAGCTAGCTGCCTAGCCCCTTGCAATTGCTCTATATCAGATATTTTCTCATCAACATTTTTTAAGTCACACTAATAAAAAAATGTTGATATGATCCTAGAGAGGTGTACCATTTTCCATCCATAATTGCTCTACATCATAGATTAAGAATATTTGTGAGTGACTTTAATGCATTTACACTTTGGAGTTTTTTCAATAGATCCTTGGATCTAACTAAGTTAAGTAGTTATACTCGATATTCGAAGCAATAGCTAAGTGGATAACACTACCTTCTTTATTCTGCATCGACCTCTATTTGACATCGTCTATGTTACTAGAGCGCCTACTCTATGGACTAAAGTTATGTTTAAATCACACGAGACGACTTAAACAATCTTTAGGGCCTATTATTCTTGATATAGTATAGATATGGAATCATAAGTTGGCCTCTAGGGCTCATTTATATTCAACAATCTCCCACTAGCACTAAGGCCAATTATGCATTACATAAATGCCCATGCACGAAGCGTGACCCTCGGGTCTAGGTTTTCCCAAAGCTTAGGTCAATGTGTTTATAGATTGTCATCTATTTTTATTTTGCAAATCTTTACATTATATAATCTAAGTGATTACTCGTGATTTTGTGTTTAGTCTTGGTGAGACCGTGGTTCAATGGCATGTGACGACAATCCATCATTTTTATTACAACGGGTGGTACCTTCATACCAAGAACCATATTAAGCTCATAGATCTCGACCCAAACACCTTGCTCAGTAATATACTTCTATAGTTGAACTTTGGTAGTGTCATCAAGCTCTTTTAGCTTACTTTACTACTATTCAAAATATGCAACCTTTCTGCGATGTGTATCCTATGCGCATGTGGAAATCACACAAGGTGATTTCTTCATTTCATATAACACCATCATTGGGTGGTATCCCATAATACCTTAAGGACGCTCCTTTTGCTATGCAGTGACAGCCACTGACTTAGCATGTTATCTACTTATAACATTTAGAGTAGAATAATTTTGGTCTTTATCGTGATATTCATGATAGGTCCAGAGGTAGTTGCATAATGAACAATTCTTATGCATTCCCTTCGTTGAGATATATCAAGTCTTCGAAAGACTTGGACCTTTGGATTGCGGGTAAGTATTTAGATCAATAACATTGAATCTACGAATAACTTGCCCTTATATATAGACCTAGTAACTCCATTTAATCTATCCAATAGATTCAATATCTAGTGCGTCTTTGTTTTTACCTATAAGAAATTCTACTCAACTTCCCATGGATGTTTGAAGTAGGAATTTCGAACTTATGAAGTGTATGTCATACATACCTTATGGAAAAACATAACGCTCCCACTAACCTTTTAATGTCACAAGTTTTCATCCCTTAGATAAAAACTCATA